CCCAGGAAAAAAAAAAAAATTCCTTCATTTTTTCAGTGTAGTTCTCAGAGCTTCCACTAGGTGGAGGACAAGCATCACTGCAGGGCCATCCTGGCCATGTGCGTGGGGTGGGTGGGACAGAGAGAAGGAAGATTCCTAACTATACCAGGAAAGCACCTTTGGGAGTGGACAGAGGAGTCACCCAGCTCTTGGGGCACGGGTACTCGGGAAAGCCTCCTCTAATGTGCCTTGGACTCCCAGATGATTTCTTTCTTACATTCAGGAGCCATGACCCTTGATTTCCTGCTTCTTCTGACCTGCTGTCCTCTGCCCGCTGCATCTACACCCTCAGCCATCTCATATGTGTTATTTGGGTTTGCCTGAATGAGTCTCCCTCTGCCATACTTCTGGGCCTTTGCACATGTTATTCTTCCAGCCAGGATTACCTCATTGTCCTATTATTTCATCAGGCCAATTTATTTCACATACTCCAAGAAATCTCCCTGGACATTTACACTGGCCTTGCTGCCATGTGTTGAAATGGTTTGCTGTCATGCCTCCTGGACAAGACCAGCCTAATGGAGAACACACGAAATGAATGCAAAATAGCCAAACAGGGTGGCAGATGCCTGTAAGCCCAGCACTTGAGAAACAGCAACAGGAGGATTCAAGGCCAGCCCGGACTACCCAGACCATGTCAACCTCAAAATACCAATAACAAAGAGAGAACCAAACCCATCAAAAGCTACACACAAAACAACACAAAGACAGGTTATATAAAATTAACAAATGGCTAGGTTGTAGAGTTTATTTTTTTACTTGGGTGTATACATGTACACCTGCATGAGTTAATGTACACTTATGTGTATACATGTACACCTGCATGAGTTAATGTACACATGTTAGTGCAGGTGCCAGAGTGCAGGGTATTGAATCCCCTGAAACTGGAGCTCCAGCCAGTTGTGAGACTCCAGATGTAGGTGCTGGGACCTGAACCCAGGCCCTCCACAGAGCAGCCAGCATTGGCAACCACTCAGCCCTTTCTGTAGTCCCAGGTGAGTGTGTACGGAGATGCTCTGGGTCCATATATATCAATACTCATTACCTCCCTGGGCCAGTATTAGATTTGCCATGAAGCTCTACTAAAGGGATGTGACAGTGGGATGTGTGAGTATTAGAGTTCAAACCCGGGCTCCATCAGCTCACTGTATGACCTTGGGTGAGGGTCGGGGCCTTCATTTCCTTTATTTTTGTAACCGGTTATAATCTCACATTGCTGCAGAGCCTCGTGTCGAGGATCAAATTAGACCATGCAAGTGAAACACGCTGCATCAGTCAATTAGGTGCCCTCCCCCAGCATGAACTTGGAAATAAAATTGCCCTCCTAGTCTCAAGCCAGTAAAATCCACACATCACCAAGGAGGAGAAGAGCCAGGTGGGGGAGTGAATGAGGCGAGAGATGGTTTTGTAAATGACTGGAGAGTTTTGTGAACGGTGCAAGCTGCAATCAAGGTGACCCGCCTGTAATCTTAGGGAGGCAGGGCGAGAGGATGTGATTGAAATGGAGAGAGCAATGGTCTAATCAATTGCATTGTGCTCTATCTGGAGGGAACAGAAGGCGGTACTAAAATGGGGGTGCCGAGGAGGTTCATCCAGCTGCTCTGGAGGGAGCGATGGGGAACCTGTAGACACAGGGATGCTCTGGTCTGTTGAAGAGCAGCTAGGGGCCTGGAGAACTCCAGATGGTTCGCTGCACTGCTGGGCCTTTACTGAAACCACATGGGCAGCAGGCAGCAGGCAGAGCCCCAGGAGGCAGACAAGAATATCCTGGTTCCAGGAAAAGGCTGTGGAGGCTGAGCACTGAATCTGGGGCCAGAGACTTGGTCTCAGCCCCTGATCTATGGCTTATGTGCTGGACATCTTCAAAAAATTTGACTTAGGCAGGGCATGACAGTATATGCCTATCATCCCAGCACTAGGAAATCTGAGCAATATAGAGAAAGCCTATCTCAAAATCGGGTGCAGGGTATGGTTTCCCTTACAGTGCCTCAGTTTATCAGAACAGGCTTCTGTTTTCCCAGGGTATGGGAGGTTGAAATGGCAGCAAACCCTTAGCAGGACACCTGGCATGCAGTCGACATTGTGTAAATGGCAGTGATGGACATTGTATTAAACATTTTAAACATTTTATGATTTAACAAAATTAAAAACTTGCATAGAACCCCACAGCCAGAGAGTGGTAGAGACAGGCGTCACAACAGGAACATCTCCAGAGCTGTGCTCTTAACTGTTTTTGTTTTTAAATTTATCTATCCTTATTTTATATGCATTGGAGTTTTGCCTGCATATATGTCTGTGTGAGGGTGCCAGGTCCTCTGGAACTAGAGTTACAAATAGTTATGAGTTGCCATGTGGGGATTGAACCTGGGTCCTCTGGAAGAACAGCCAGTGCTCTTAACCACTGAGCCATCTCTCCAGATCCACTCTTAACTGTTTACTTCTGGCTTGTATGTCAGGTTCCTGTGCAATCCATTGGTTAGGAGACTGTCGCCCCAAGAAGCCCCGGTGCCTGAGAGTTTGTCTGCAGAGTTAAGGCTACCATCCAGTGACAATGTCTCTGAGCGGCCATTTGGATTCCATTCAACAACCCCCATCACAGGGAACCTCTCAGTAGATGCCCCCTTTAGACTCCTCAGTTGACTGAGGTTTCTAGGGACACTTTCTGCCAATAACTGGAGAACACACATACACAATACACACCCTTTCAAAAGCCCAGTGGTAACACAGTCTGGTGAAGGGACCATGGGTTTTGTGTAAGATCAGCTCTGCAGTATGCGGGCATATCATGTAACCCTGGGACCTCCGTTTTCTTATCCAGGGGAACTAATCTTAGCAAACAGTCTCAGCATTAGATTGTAGGGGGGGGGTTAGAGCCAGCACATCTGCTATTCAGCATGCACCAAGTCAGTTTAATAGGTTAAACTGGGCATGGTGGTGCACATCTGTGATCCCAGCATTTGGAAGGTGGAAGCAGGAAGCCAGGAGTTCAAGTTCACTGTTGGCTATGTGGAGAGTTTGAGGCCAGCCTGGGGTACATGAGACCATAGCTTTTTTTTTTTTTTTTTTTTTTTTTTCTTTGCGTGAAAGGTAAGTTATTTATTTATTTATTTCTTCAGCCTGAGGGAGCTCCAGGATAGGGATAGATCTTTCTCATTTTTATGTGCCCTGGGTCCTGCTCAGTGAAGGTCCATCAGAGTCAACTCTTAGTAATTGCCTAGTGCAGCAGTGGCTCCCAGCTTCTGGACTCTTTCCTTTTCCACCCCACTCATAAGTCAGAATCAATAAACATTGCCTGATAGGAGAGCTGGGAGCCCATATTTCCTGCTTTCTCACTTTCCAGACAGAGGCATGCCAGCTACCAGGTTCTCCAGGAGGACCTAGGGGGTGGGACCATTCTTTGCTATTGCAGAAGTGCATTAAAGATTGTGGCCTGGTGGTGGTGGCACACTGCTAACCCCAGCACTTGGGAGGCAGAGGCAGGTGGATCTCTGAGTTCAAGGCCAGCCTGGTCTACAGAGTTCCAGGACAGCCAGGGCTACACAGTGAAGCCTGTTTTTACTCCATCCAAATCCATTTACTCCATCTGAAACCTTGTCTCAAGGAAAAAAAAAAAAGCTGGGCATTGGTGGCGCACACCTTCAGTCCCAACATTCAGGAGGCAAAGGCAGGTAAATCTCTGTGAGTTGAAGCCTAGCCTGGTAGCCTGGTCTAGGAAGTGAGTTTTAGGACAGTCTCTAAAGCTACACAGAGAAACCTTGTCTCCCAGTGAGTCCTCTCCCCTCTTCCCATGCCCTGTTTTGCAGAACCTAATAGCTACAGAGGGTCTATTGTATTCTTCTCCATGCTCTGCTGTGGGAGGCCTAAGACTGTCTATGGTAGTTTGAAGGTCTCCATAATCTCACAGGGAGTGGCACTATTAGTAGGTGTGGCTTTGCTAGAGTAGGGATGGCCTTGTTGGAGGAAGTGTGACACTGTGGGGGCTTTGAGGTTTCTTATGCTCAGATACTGCCCAGTGTCTCAGTCGACTTCCTGTTGCCTGCAAGATGTAGAACTCTCAGCTTTCTCCAGTACCATGTCTGCCTGCAAGCTGTCATACTCCCTTCCATGACAATGATGGACTGAACCTCTGAAACTGTAAGTGAGCCAATCCAATTAAATATTTTCATTTATAAGAGTTGCTGTGGTCAGCCTGGCAGTGGTGGCGCACACCTTTAATCCCAGCACTCAGGAGGCAGAGGCAGGTGGATCTCTGTGAGTTCGAGGCCAGCATGGTCTACAGAGTGAGTGCCAGGATAGGCTCTAAAGCTACACAGAGAACAACAATAACAACAACAACAAAGAGTTGCTGTGGTCATGGTGTCTTTTCACAGCAATAAAAACCCTAACTGAGACACTGTCCCAGTGTGCCTGTGATGGTAGGAAATGGCTGACATGAATTAAGGAATTAACTGTACACAGATTCAAAGCCACATTCATCTATTTCCGATCACTGGTTTTCTGTGTTTCTCAACTCATGGTAAACTGACATGTGAATGATCAGTGGGACTCTGGGGTGTTCTGAAACTCCATGCACTGGGTACCTTGAACTTAGTAGACAAGAGGGAATTCCTCACTGGCCTCCAAATCTATCCTGCTCACTTCCTGTAGACTACCATTCATTTCCAAAGATGGCTCAGGGAATGTTCACAGCTCGATGTTCACATCATCATTGCTCTTCCTTACATAATGAATAACACACACACATTATGTTCAGAGAGGTGGTGAGCCTTTCACAGCTCTCTCCCTCAGACCTGGGCCTGGACCAGGCAGCCGGTCTGCAGGAAGGGAATCAAGCAAAGGCGTTCCCTGCCATTGTAACTTGGAGAAATCCAAGAGAACTGAGAACAGTAATTAAATTCTTAGGGCCTGGACTGGAGCAGGTTGCCAGGAGGTAGGAGAGCAGGAATAAGAGATAAGGGAAGGAAGGGAAATATAATTTTATAAATAACTAGACAAAGTGTGAGTATTTTTAGGCGATGGAAGAAAGAGGCTAACATATAGGAGCCTAGTAGGACAGGAAAAATGGTGTCTGGGGTCAGAGTATGAGAGATGAGTTCTGAACATCCATTTACTCCATCTGTAACATGAGTGGATGCCCTAGATTTTTGGAAGGGAAGAGAGAGTGTTTGGGGTCAGAGAAGGTAAGAGATGATATTCTAGCATCCATTTGCCCCACCTATAAAATGGCTTCAGAGTTCCAAGTCTGGGGCACTGGGATCAGAGAGCCCTGGGGGTTGGCAAGGGCAAGTAGACACTCCCAGAAGGTCATTGATGCCGGGCCAGGTTATGTCTGGTCTCCAGGTTGGTACTGTGGTTCTGTGGAGGTAAAATAGTCTTCCAGGAAAGACTGTAGGTACTCAAAGGTGGGCCTCTCCTCTGGGTCCAGACGCCAGGTCTGTTCCATAACTTCATACAGGGACGTTGGGCAGCCTGGAGGGCATGGCATGTGGTAGCCATGTTCTACCTGTTCCAGAACTTCTCGGTTGTTCATGCCTGAAGGGGGGAGCTCTGTCAGCCAGTGCAAGGAACAGGGGTGGAGAAGGCCCTCCTCCATGACCACACCCCACCCCCAGCTCACCTGGGTAAGGAACTCGGCCCTTGGTGATCAGTTCAGTGAGCAGAATCCCAAAGGACCACACATCTGATTTGACAGTGAATCTGCCAAAGAGGGCGGCTTCCGGAGCTGTCCACTTGATGGGGAACTTGGTCCCTAGAGAGATTGGGGAAGGCAAGGTTAGCAAGGGGGAGTTCATGGAAACTGCTAGATTAAGAGAATGAGGACTTTAGGATTAGGCCTCTTGGAGACCCTGGGCATAGCAGAAAAAAAACAAAACAAAACAAAACTGCTATGTAGTCAGCACCTACTGTGTGTCTAGTACGGTACCGGCCACACGCAGTCACACTTCTTGTGACAGGGTGTTAGGATATCTCTAGCCTTTCCTCAGTTTTGTGTGCCTTTGTTTGGGTTCTGTGGTGCTGGAAGAAAATTCAGCCCCACTTCCACTAAGCAAGCATTCTCCCACTGAATTATACTCCCCCACCCCTTCGGCCCAGGTATTGTTTTAGGCAATATGCCTGCATGGTTAACACATTGAGTCCTCACTATCATTGACCTCATCTTACTAGTGAGGAAAAGAAGATGCCAAATAAGTTCTTTCCCCAGTTCACACAACCAGCAAGTGTCTGAGAGCCACACGAGGCGCTGTTACACTCTATTGTCTTCTGTTTAAGACTTATAGCCATGCCTGGTACTTAGTCAGTAGCTGGTAAATACGTATTGACTTGCTGTTGCCTAAGTATGTTCATTTTATCAAAAATGGCAAACCACAGAATTTAGGTTACTGAAGATGTGTGGTAGGTAGCAAACTCGGAATTACATTTGATTTATAATAGGCTGGGGCTGTCCAGTATCAGCAGGGGTGGTAAAGGGTGACTATGTGGGGTACATGGCAACCCCTTTGATTTTGATCTCTAGGGAGGGAGGGTGAGGTTGGTCACCTTGGCGGGGGTTGTACTCGTTATCCTCAATGAGTCGTGCCAGCCCAAAGTCAGCGATCTTGCATATTAGCTGTTCCCCCACCAGGATGTTGGCTGCTCTCAAGTCTCGGTGGATGTAGTTCATACGTTCCATGTAGGCCATGCCCTCAGCTACCTACGAAGGAGGAAAGGAAGTGACAGGCAGGAGCTAATACGGACTCACCATAATTGGACCTCAGGGGTGTGTGGGAGTCCACTCTCCTGATGGGACCCCTCCCCCATCCCACCACAGCTCGGTACACATGGGGAGATTCGACAGCATTCCCCTGCCTTAGGTCTCAGAGCTCACAAGGTGGGCTAGGCTGCAGTTTTAGGTGTATGAAGGCGCATGGGGTTTATGAAAGGATAAAAGGATAGAGTTCTGGGAGATGAGGCCTGCTGGCCCAGTTTACCTGGGCGGCCATGTCCACTAGATGGGGCAGCCTCAAGTTCTGGCATCCTCGATCCTTTAGGAAATCCAGCAAGCTACCTAGGGAGAAGCAGCCAGAAATCAGCAGCAGGCCCCTACTCCCAACATGCCTTCTCTGCATTGGTCTTGCCCCTATCCTGCTGACCTAGCCTCACTCTGCCTCCCATCCTGCTTTCTCTCCTACATCAATCCTCCAGTTCTGTTTCCAACTCCGAACCCTGGACATGCCCCTCTTAGGCTCCTCCCCAGGCCCGCCCGCGGCCCTGATCCTGCTCTGGTTTGCTCAAACGAATCCACTAGTTGGCTAACCACTTTCTGGCAAGAGGAGGCTCCGCCCCCGCCACAGGCCCCGCCTCTCGCTGGAAATAGACCTACTAGGACCTTCACAGGTGGCAGCTCGGGCCCCACCCACCCACGCCCCGCCTCCTACTTGCTCCTCACCGTGGCACATAAACTCTGTCACAATATAAATGGGTTCCTCTGACACCACGGCGTACAGCTGCACCAGCTTATCATGCCTCAGCAGCTTCATGATCTGTGCCTCCTCCAGGAAGGCCTTTGGGGACATGGTGCCCGGCTTCAGCGTCTTCACGGCCACCTTTGTGCTGCAGTTCCATGTGCCTGCTCGGAGGCCGCATTTCATCAAGACTGGCTCTCTGCCAGCCCTGCCCCTTGCGCCACCCCCCAGCCCCTGAGACCTTCCTACCCAGCCACACGTCTCCAAAGCAGCCAGTGCCCAGCCTGCGTTCAAGCGCTATGGAGCTACGATCGATCTCCCAGGCGTCCTTGGCCAGACCCAGCGTCTGGGGTTTCATGGTGGTACAGGGCACCGTGAGCAGGTAGCACAGACCATCATTCACTTCTGGAGGAAGGGGCAGATGGAAGGGGTCACAGACGGAGGCTGTGACAACTCCCCCCGACATCCTAACACAACCCAGCTTCAGACCTCAAACCTGGCTATAAATAACGGGGCCCTAGTGGAACATGGGGGTTCGCGTCTGTAATTCCAGCACTCAGTAGGTTGAGGAAGGAGGCCTGGCTGATGGTGCACACCTTTAATCCTAGCATTCAGGAGGCAGAGGCAGGTGGATCTCTGTGAGTTTGAGCCTAGCCTGGTCTACAGAGCTAGTTCCAGGTCAGGCTCCCAAACAATATAGAGAAACCCTATCTTGAAGGAAAAACAAAACAAAACAAAACAAAAAAGTTCCCACCAGCTTAGATCTGGAAGCAAGAAATTAGCCGATTCCCTATTGAAACATTAGAAGGCAACTGCTTTGTGCCTGCCACTTGGGGCCTCAGTCCCCTCAGAATCCACACAGAGCAGGATCCTGGCCTGGAGACATGCACATTTGGCCCAGTCAGTACTGCTTTAGGAGATCACTTCATTCTCTAGGCGCCAGTCTCTCCATCATGACAACACATGCCCGCGTTGAGCAGCTCACCCATGTAGTGCCGCACCAGGTCTTGCACGGATTCGAACTGGGCCCGTGTGGTGATGTAGTAGCCACCCATGTCCAGCTTTCGGATCTTATAATGCTTTATGTGATCGCCTCTGTTCTGGTCCCAGTCACGGATGGACAGGGAGTAGGCACCTGTGTGGGAAGGGTCACTTATTTCTCCTGTCCCTCAGACTAAGAACAGGAAGAGGCCCCAAAGGCAATTCCCAGGCCCACTTTACCTCCACCCCTTAGTACTGACCCCAAGCAACGCCCCCCCCCCCCGACCTTAGTGGCAGAAGGCATGGGTTTTCAATGCACCTTTGGTTGTCTCACTCTCGCGAATGAGAAAGGCTCCCTGAGAGTTGCCCGCTGAGAGAAGCTGCCTCTCTGCATCCTTCCTGCTGATCTTTCCAAAGTACCACCTGTGAGGGGAGGCAGGCAGAGTCAGGCACATTCTCCTCAAACCCCAGTCTGTCTTCCTGGGAAGTCACCTCACAAGCCTCAGTTTCCTGACCTGAGAAATGGGCTGTTACAGTCTGTGTGATGGTGTAAGGATCTCAGAGAAGGGAGATGGAAAAGTGTCTGTCACATGTAGTAAGTAGGTGCCTTGAAAGACCAGGGTCCTCCTTTCTACCCACTGGTGTCTCTTGAATTAAAATTAAAACAGCAAGTTCTAGTCAGTCAGGGCTACATAGTGAGACCCTACCTTAAAAACAAACAGACAAGTAAATAAATAGTGTGTAATCCCAGGACTTGAGAGGCACAGGCAGACAGGCCGATGCTCCAAACCAGTCAAGGCTGCACAGTGAGACCCTGTCTCAAGCAACCAAACTGTAGAACCTGGTCACCAATGACCTCGTGGTCATTGCCACAGGGCCCTTAACTCATCCCACTAGAAATCTCCACAACCCATTTTACAGAGGAGGAACTCAAGGCTCCAAAGGGAACTGACTTAGCCACCAGGACAGCTGACATGGATGAACTGTAGCCCCAACCCAACTGTGCAAGTACATGGGGGTGGGGGGCTGAAGTGACCCCACATGCGGTAGAAGATTCCGGTGTCATCTCATCTGGTGGTTAAAGCGATTGTGCCACATGGGCTCAGAGGAAGGAACACAGCTTTCAAATGAAGGGAGATGGAAACATCTGGGAACTCTGGCATGGTCAGTTTGTACCTGGCTACTAGGCAAATCTGGGAGACAGGAAGAGCCCTTGGCAAATGGTGTGCCTAGCAGCAAGGAGAAGCATCCAAAGGACTCTGTAGCAGATTCACTGATGGAGTTTTCCAAAAGCCCCTTCTCCCCCAGCCATGATGTCAGTAACTTCCTTAAGGGTCAACAAAGTAAGTCCACACTCAGGAGGATGAGATCCTGAGTGTGAGGCAGCCTGAGCTACATAGCAAGACCTGCTCCAAAATAAAAACCAAACCTTAATAGGCTGGGCACTCTTTCTGTGATGGACATGGGTCCAGTACATACATGTACTCCCTAATAACGTTCAGAGGGAGGTGCCACGTTCCAACTCATAAGACAGAGAAGGAAATTGAACTAACTACTTAGTGGTTAAGCAACTTGCCGGAGGCCATTCTGTGACTCCAGAACAGGAACCCAATTGTCTACTCTCCATCTTGACACGGTGCCGAGCACTTTAGATGTCAGCATGCACCCCAGCCCCCTTGTCCTTGGCATCGTTACCCTATTGCCCCTCCTTCATGCTTCCTGCCACTCTCTTCACAACATGGCCTTATCCCACTTATGTGCTGGACTTGCCCATGTCCCTCTGCTCAAGAAACCCCACCTCACCCCATGAACAACCCCTGAAACTGTCCATCCATCAAATTCTAAACACATAGGCCTTCTTCCTTGCTAGAGGGAAGTTCTGATGCTACATTGTTGCTGTGTTTTAAATATTTGTTTATTTTTAATTACTGCATGTGCACATGTGTGTTGGTGCAAGTGTCCATGGAGGCCAGAAGGAAGCATCAGAATCCCTAGAATTGGAGTTAATGAGGGTTGCCACCCTGTGGGTGCTAGGAATCTAACCCCGGAATCTAACCCCGGCGCTCTGGAAGAGTAACTGCTGAGCCATCTCTCCAGCCTCCTACTTTCTCTCTCTCGCTCTCTCTTTTTCTTTCTTTTAACAAACACTTATTGCATTTTATGTATTTATTTTGTGTGTGCGCACACATGTATTCATGCTATAACAAAGGAGTGAAGGTCAGAGGAAAATCTGCGCATGTTGGCTTTCTCTTTTCACCACATGGGTTTTCTGGAGATCAAACTCAGGTTGTCAGGCTTGACAGCAAGGGCCTTTTCCTGCTAAGCCGCATGTTTGGCCCTGACTTCTCACCTTGCCTTTGCTTAGACCATATTTCCCCTCTTGGGTCAATTTTCTCCCTCTCCCTCCTTCCTGGACTCTGCTGTCTGGCTTGCTTTTACCTCCCATGAGACAAGATTCCTTATGAAGGTCACCCTGTCCCCAAGGACGAGGGCAGTCTCATACAGCCCTTTTTTCAGGCCTTGTCTGAGCCCCTTGCTTCTCCAGGGACTCTTTCTTCTCCATGTCGTCACTGCCAGAGCCAGACCCTAGGACTACTCTGTCTGTCTGTCTGCCTGCCTGCCCGCCCCCCCCCCCCTTTATCCTACTGAGCACATAATTGTCATCTCTATCCAGGTGAGTCCCAGTTCCAACCAGCACAGGTGTGCCGTTTGCCATGGCTACAGGGAACAAGTGACAGTCTCATGACAATGAGGAACAGGTGTCCCTTGCTCTGAGATAATGTGGCAGCATGGCATCGCATGCTCAGCACAGCCCGGTCTAGCTTCTAGCAGCTTCCTTCACCTGGGTGTTGCTCTCTACAAACCTCAGAACAACAGTTCCCCCGTGGAGCCCACCTGTACCTCCACCTGCTCTGGTGTCCCCCATTTTAGTAACTGGCGCCACACTTAGCTTGCTTCTTCAAAAGATACTGGATCATCCCCAATTCCTCTCGCTCCCCAGTCCAACTACAAACCAATCGCCAAGTCCTTAGGACTCCCATTCTGGTTTTGTTTTGGATCTTTTGGAGACAGAGTCTTAAGTAGCCCAGGCTATCCCTCAAATTCAGTACAAATGCTGGGATTACAGGCATGGGCCACCATGCCCAGCCCAGTTCTTCAAGGCCTCTTTCGTCATTTCCCCCCCACAAATGTATGGGACACATTGTAAGGATAGCTTTTTTTTTTTTTTTTTTTTTTTTTTTTTAGGTGGGTGGGGAGAGAGTACTAAAGATGGAATCTAGGGCCTTGTATATGTTACAGTACACTCCAGCCCCTCTCTGTCTACTTAGTAAAATTATCTTTAAGAATTGTTCCCTTGCAAGCTTTCTTCATACTAAATACATACTGTGCCACTGAACTATACCCCCAGTTCTACCAGCTTTTTTCTTAATTTAATTTTATGTGTGTGTTTTGCCTGCATGTATGTCCATGGGCCACATTCATGCCTGGTGCCTGTAGAGGCCAGAAGAGGCTGTCAGATCCCCTGGCACTGAAGTTATAGCTGTAAGTCACCATTAGGATGCTGGAAATTAAATCTGGGTCCAGTGCACTTAACTGCTGAGCCATTTCTCAGATCCTGTTTTGCTTTTGTTTTTGTGAGTTATTTGTTTTGTTTGAGACAGGAACTCATTTCTTACAGGCTGGCCTCAAACTTACTACATCAAGGATGACCTTGAACTTCTGATTCTCCTGCCTTTGCTTCCCAAAGTCTGGGATTACAGACAAATGCCATCATGGTTGATTCTGTATGGGAAATATGGGAAATCAGATCCAGCGCCTCATGCCTGCTAGACACTGTACCAAAGGCACATTGCCAGTACCCAGTCCCACTTTTTAGGTTTATTTATTGTATGTATGTACATCTGTGTGAGCATTTACTGCACCAGTGTGTGTGTGTGTGTGTGTGCAAAAGCAGAAGACAATGTCAGATGCCCTAGAGTTGAAGTTATCAGTGGTTGTAAGCTGCCTGCCCTGGATGCTGGGAACCAAACTCCAGACCCTGGAAGGACAGCAAGCACTGTGTACCACTGGGCCATCTCTCTAGTTCCTACCCCTTACAGCGTTGAAAGCTCATGGGTAGGCATCCCTGGGCATCCCTCCTACTCTCTGAAATTCTTTGACACGTTTCCTTTAAATCTACATACTCTCTGCTAAGATAGATATCTAGATAGCTAAGCAGACAGATAAATTCTGACATAATGCTACTGTTACAAATAGGTGAGGTATATACTGGCTTGAACATAGTGTATGTTTAGCTAGGTTCACACACCAGCTCCACATCTTAACAGTTATGAAAATTTGGATAGGATATTCATTGTCTCTGTCCCTCAGCTTCCTCTTTTTCTCAATTAAAAAAAAAAAAAAAAGTCTCATTACGGCCTGGAACTCACCTTATAGACTAGGTGAACCTCAAACTCAGGCCCACCTGCCTCTCCCTCCCACATGGTAGGATTAAAGATGTGCACCTCCACACCTGGCTAGGTTCCTCATTTGTAAAATAAACAATAGTTTCTACACTTGATAACACAGAAACTCCACAGTTACAGAACACAGCACCTGCTATATGGCATTATCTAAGGTTACCATCATCATCATCATCCACGTCTTTTTTTCAATATGGGCAGTGGGGGGCACGGTTGGGGTGTTTCTCTATGTAGCCTTGACTGTTCTGGAATTCACTCTGTAGACCAGGTTGGTCTCCATCTCAGAGATCCTCCTGCCTTTGCTGCCCAAGTGCTGGGATTAAAGGCATGTGTTACCCCAGCCGGCTGGCTGCCATCTGCTTTTAGCTCTACAATAACCTTATAACATTGTAGATGAGAAGGCAGGCTGAGAGTGAGGCAGCCATTTCCTAAGAGCTGGCCTTGGACTTAGATACTAGGCTTTCCTCCACAGGGCTGGCCCCAGCCCCACTCACTCTTCAGCCTGGATGGAATCCACAGGAGCCACATAGTTGCTGGGAATGTAGCCAGTGTGTCCCGAGCTCAGGGACCGAGCCTCCCACCAGTCACCTTCGCTGTAAACACAGAACACAGGGGTAGTAAGCCGCACACCGGGTCCAGGCAGGGACACATTAGCTGGAGAGCGGCCCTGCCAATCCTCACCTTTGACCCTCCCTGCTCAGAGAGTTTTAGTCAGCTTATCTTCCAGGCACTGCAGCTGCCCTAGCTGTTTTCACGGGGGTAGGGGTGGGGAGTGGGGGTGGGGTGGGGAGTGGGGAAGGGTGGGGAGTGGGGGGGATGTGGGGAATGTAGGGGGGTGAGGACTGTTTGCCCATTCCTAGGTTCTTCCCTGAGTTCTTCCTTTGAGCAGGTACAATGGATGCTAACCAGGATGCTCCCCACTGGGAACTCCCCATGGCTACAGATTTCCTTCTGGATAAAATTCAGGCATCATCATCCAGCTTTAAAGGCTTATGGATCCTGACTTGCCTGTGTCTCCAACTTCTGCTTTCTATTCTAAATTGTATTTCTCCTCCTCCCCCTCTCCCTCCTCTACTTCACTGGGAATCAAACCCAAAGCCTTGCTCTGTAGTCGGGAACACGGTCAAAGGGATGACACATGGTGAACAATGCCTTGGGGAACTGTGAGAGCGGCTCCAGGAAAAAAAAAGGCAGAGGACCTTTTGCCTCAAGAGCATTTTGTTCCCTGGATTGTTCTTGGCCATGATTTCGTGCCTCCTTGGACAAACATTCATAGGTTCCTACATTCTATCACTGAGCCACTCTTGCAGCCCTACTGTTCGCCCTCCTCCCATCCCTCCCTCCCTCCCTTTCTTTTTTTCTTCTAGCATCCTAGAACTTGCTTTGTAGCCCAGGCTGGCCTGGAACTCAGAGTTCTGCGTGACTCTGCTTTCCTAGTGCTGGGATTAAAGGTGTGCACCACGCTGCTCAGCAACTTTTTCTTTTTCTTTTTTTTTAATTTTAGTATTTACATGTATTTAGTGTATGTGGAGGCCAATTATATGAGCCAATTTTCTCCTTCCACCATGTGGGAGTCTAGGGGTCAAACTCACCACGTGGTCAGGCTTGGTGGCAGGCAACCCTTACCAGCTGAGTCATCTGCCCAGCCCTGCACCTCATCTATGATAATTTACCCACACACACCTCTTGGGACTTTCTAAAAATAATTGTCTAGTCTTATTCTCTCTTTTCTCACCTCTCCCTTCATTGTCTACCCATTTTTTCTAGTCCTACTTAAAAATCTCTAGGAAGCCTGCCTCAATCACCACTACCCTGGGGACCAAGTTTAGCATTCTGCTTGTATCCCAAGTCCTTTGACTTCCCTCTCCCTGCATGGCAGGCAGCAATCACTTAGTGCTTCCTTGTTATTGTCATTTGTTTGCAGTCATTTAGATAGAACTCAGGGCTCACATGCTAGGCAAGTCCTCTACTGTGAGTTATACTCGCAGCCCTCATCCGGGACTTTTATCAGTATGCCTATGTGTCCCCTCCCAAGCGGGAGCTTTCTAGACACCGGTCAGAGTTTATTCCTCTAGAAAACTTGCATCCAGCCCAGGCCCACCCTCCCCTAGGCAGCCCAGTCACTTACGTATTGTTCAGGATGTGGAACTTCTCGCCTTTGGTGAAGGATAAGTCATCCCTTGTCCTGGCCTCATAGTCATACAGGGCGATGAACATGGTCACTCCAGGCCCTGCAGAATCGGAGCTGCTCAGCAGAGCACCACATAGAGTGGGGGACTAAGGAGGCCAAGGAGGTGCCACTCTTGCATCCTAGGTCCCCCACCATCACAAAGTCTAGGTTCCCAAAGGAGTTCAGGAACCAGTGGGGCTTCACAGTTTGCCCCACGAGGTCCAGGACAAATAACCTCATGTCCTTCTCACCCTGGAAAGTTCCTAAGTTGCTCCTTCCTCTTCCTCACTAAGAACATGTCTCACCTTATGAAGCAGCACTTAAGAGGATAGAAGTGTGTGTGTGTGTGTGTGTGTGTGTGTGTGTGTGTTGCTTTTGAGATGGAGCCCCTGAAACTCATGATGCTCCTGCCTCTGTCTTCCAAATGGAAGGGTTCTCTTTGCTACTTGAAATTAACACTGGGGTCCCTCTGTGATGGGAACAGAAAAACACCCAAACTGGATTCCTAGGGTACATTTATACATTTACACACACTGACTTAGCTGTTGTGAGCTTAGAGAATAGGGGCTTCTAAGGACGAGTCTGAGTCTTTCTGTAGTTTTTCTTAGAACCCAGGCAGCATCTGTCTCCGGCCCCAGAGACCCACCTGAGATGCTCCTGGTGGTGCCAGCAGCATTAAGAAAAGCTGGGCTGGTAGGCTGAAGAGAGAAGGTCTTCGACCGGCCTTGGCCTTGAGTTGGGTCAGGATAATATCGTTCTTCAGGCGCTTGGCTCCTGAAGTCCCCTTCCATGCCAACATCCTCCTTGGATGCAGGCTCCAACTTCTTGCAGAACACACAGCCCATTCCAGGTGCTCTGCTGCAGAATGGGGGCAGGCTTAATTCAGAATGACCTGGCTGGTGTACCACCCACAGCACACAGGTGTTGCATGTATGCTCCTTCCCACAAATTGAGGTCTTCCTAAGTAAGGGCCACCTTTGGTCTGCCTCCTAGCTCCTTTCTTCTCTCTCTCTCTCTCTCTCTCTCTCTCTCTCTCTCTCTCTCTTTCTTAAGTTTATTTCTTTTTACTTTATGTGATTTGGTGTTTTGCCTGTGTGTATGTCTGTGTGAGGGTGTCAGATCTTGGAGTCACAGACAGTTGTGAGCTGCCATGTGGGTGCTGGGAATTGAACCTGGGTCCTGTGGAAGAGCAGCCAATGCTCTTAACCCCTCTCCAGTCTTGGGAAGAGCTCAGTTTATGCACTTTTGACTCCTGTTGCTTTGACACATTATGTTTCTGTGACTCCTTTATGGTGTTTCTTTTTCCCTATGTGTCTTTGTGGGTCTCTAAACAAAAGTGTCATGCATGTATGCAGGTCTTGGGGAATGTCTCTGTGTCTAGAAGAATGTGCTGATCTTGGGACATAGCTCAGTTGGTAGAGTGCTTGCCTAGCATGTATGAAGCCTTGGATTTGATCCCCAGTGCTGCATAGACTCAGCCTGGCAATTTGCTCCTATGTGTGGAAGTATATGTGCTTCTCTCTCTCTCTCTCTCTCTCTCTCTCTCTCTCTCTCTCTCTCTCTCTCTCTGTGTGTGTGTGTGTGTGTGTGTGTGTGTGTATACAGGCAGGCCTGTATGTAAGTATATGTGCCCCTCTCGGTGTGTGTGTGTGCGCGCGCGCGTGCACGCCTGCATGTGTATGCTTTGTAATTCACATCTGTAAAGCTGCCCTTGTTTGTGAACGCGCAAGGGCAGTGTGCCTGCACCTGGAGATTCCCTGCAGAGGGGGATCAAGGCCATTTCCTGTCATGAGTCCAGCCTCCAGCCTCTCAAGCTGCCTCATTCTGGCTCCTCTATCGGTTTCCTAGCAACAGGGCCCTTGTAGGAGGAAGGGGCTGCGAGGCAGGCTTTGTGGGGCCCAGGAAAGCGACCCCACCCTGTTCCCTGACCCTGAAAGCTTCAGCACACTTCACACCCTACTCACCCCACAGGCCCGTACTCCTGGGTCAGTAAGACTGATGCATGGTCCCTGGAAGATGCAGGAAACCTGGGGGTGAGACAGAAGAACGTGGAAGATGAAGAAGGCCTTGCCAGTATTTCTGCCAGCCTGCTGCCCAGATCCTACCCTTTTCAGGAAGCCAGAAGGCCTGTGTTCTGTCCCATCATGACTGCTACCTTTGTTTTCTCTCCCACCACTCCTGGAACACAAGCATATCCATCTCCACATAGGACACACCACCTGTGCCAACTCCTGCACACTCAGCCCACCTAAGCCATGGCAAAAAGACACATACAGGCACAGCCATACATCATCACAGCATATGCTTGAGGGTCCTTGCCAACATCACTGCACACCCTCACTCTCAAATGAGAGCTGGTGCTCAATAACACACATCTGTACCTACACATATGTGTATTATTATTATTATTATTATTATTTGCTTTTTGAAATAGGGTCTCTCTGTGTAGCTCCAGTTGTCCTGGAACTTGCTCTGTAGACCAGGCTGGCCTTGAATTCATGGAGATACACCTACCTCTACCTCCTAAGTGTTGGGACTAAAGGTATTCGCCACCACCGCCTGTCCCACATGCGTGTATATGGGCACACACATATATGAACATGTAGGTTAGCAGACTTATATAATCATAGGAGGTGTACCCAGACTCATCTTTCAAACTCGAGCACTGTCAAATCAATTGTTCTTGGCTCACAGGACCTCTGTTATGCTCGCCTAAAAATGAGTCTTTCCCAAGAACCCTATCTCTTCCCTCAACCTGGGCAAGTCCCAGCAGACTGTCATTCTGGTGCCAGAACAAAAATGACAGTTACCTGTAGACCAGGATCAGGGAGAGGTCCCAGTCTGAAGCTGGGACCACAATAGTCTCTTGAAGAGCTTGGAACAGGCCAAACTTTCCCCAGCCACTAAGTCCTCTGAGAAACTCCACAGGAAGGTCATTGAGCAAGGGGTCGCCACCCCACCCCCTGCTGAAAAACTCCACTGTTGCAACAGTCACAGAGGAAGTGCCCGGGGAGAATGCTGGTTCCCTAAGAAGAGCGCTTGTTGGGAGGGGGGAGGGGGCAGCCTGGGGCCTGCCAGTGTCCTCCACTGAGGACAAAAAAGATTGAAGCTCCCATTCAGGGTTCCCCGTGGTGGCAGCTCCTGCTGTTTTTATCAGAACACTCACCTCTTCCAGGAAGCCTTCCTTCCTGGATCTAATAGGTCTGGTTGCTGGTGTCTGGTTCAGTCACCTGAGAGTCCCAAACTACATCGTGGTTCCTCTGCACCCTTCACCAAAACCATTATATGCGAGTTGAGGTGAAGGGGTAACAATATGTGGTAAGCTGCTGAGGCAAGCTACGGCAATAGGCCTGCCCCAAAACAGCTTCTATTCACTTAGCTTTACTGAGATCTTCACCACAGGGTGCCCCAACGCCAGAGAGTGAAGGACTAGAATGTCTGAAAAGGCCTAGCATTCCAGGCTGGTTCAGGATGGAGATGGGGGGGGGGATAGATGTGGAGGGCTGCCTCCCCTCCCCCAGCCAAACTGAAGGGGTTTCAAGAAGAGGGAAGGAGAGAGAACAGATGGGGTGATAGGAAAGCGAAGCCAACAGGTGAGGATGAAGCCCCCCTCACAGAAACAGACACGACACAAACCTGTACCGAGCCAGGTAAGATTTATAACACAGCCTCGGACATACATATCTTCTGAGAAACACGCAGGTCATCCAGACTCCAAGTCCATCTATACTCGTTTCCAGACACACACATCTGTGATTGTATCATATTCACAAACAACACCCTACAGCCCTCATCCATTGTGCATGTGTTCATGTGTGCTCACACATTACATGTGCGCATACACATACCATGTACCCTCTTCACAAGAGAACAAAACATTTCTAGTCCTTACTGTGTGCCTACCACTGCCTTAAACACTTTGCCTGTACCACTTCCTTTTATTCTTACTAAAAACCCAGTTTTAAATATTATGATTATTGATGAAGTAACTGAGGCATGAAGCTGCTTAGCTATTTGCCTAAGGTCACACACATGAGAAATCCCATCATTTGAGACAACATGTGAGCCATTTCCCTGCATTGCTTGTCATGAAGAAAGACTTGTAGCCCTTCCTGAAATCATATGCAAATGCGTTGCCTGGGTAGGACTGGCATGTACACGGCACTCCCCCAGAGACTCAGCCCTACTCAGAAGGCTCCTCTACGAGATACAAACTTACACAGCCCAGGGGCCCTCAGTTGGGACAATGTTGCCACTTGCAATATACCCAAGTGCCTATCCCTAGGGCATATCCCCCCACCATGGACCTCTTAAAATCTGCCTGCCTGTGAGGAAGATTCAAATAGAATCTCTACCGGCTGAGTGTGAATCCTGGCAGGGTTGACAGTGTAGCCGGCGGGCAGAATTGGACAGCCCTCAGGGTTCTGTCACCCCCAGATTTTGAGGGGACTGTGGTCCTAGTGGACCTGGCTTTCTGACATGAGTACACTGAAGGGCTCAGGGATGATGACACAAGGCATATTCAAGGCCAGGCAAAGGGAAGAACCACATTGAATGTAATGGTATGACAGTGTGCATCAGAGGAAAGTGGGTAGGAAGATGTCTCTCAGGGAGAGGCAGAGACTGAGAGAAACAGAGAGACAGTGAAAGACACTGGCAACTAGGGAGGTGTGAAGATGAAAAGACAAAGACAGCGTGGTGATTTTGGGGGAGGGGGAACAACAACAAACCCCAAACCTGGATTTGTAGCATTTGCTAATTTCCATGGTGTAAATATTCCCACTGTGACTGATTTAAAGCTCCTGGAGCAACTACCTGATGGCTTGGCCTGAGAAGGGATGCAGAGAATGAGTTCCCCTGAGTCAGTGTTAGTGAGCCAACACATTGCTGCCAGAGAGAACCGAGACAGAGACAAAGAGACAGAAATTCCAGATAAAAGAGTACCAGAAGACCAGTGTAGTAGTGTACCCCCATAATACTAGCTACTCAAGAGGATGGGGCAGGAAGATAGCAAGATGGAAGCTGGTGTAGGCTAATTAGCAGGGCTTGGTGCCTCCAAATCAAGAGCTAAGGATATAGAGTGCTTGCCTAGCATGCACACGGTCCTAGGTTCCAGAATTTAATCTCTAGTAGCAGAGAGAGAGAGAGAGAGAGAGAGAGAGAGAGAGAGCGCACTGAGGTTATAGTTTAACGATTCAGCATTCACCTAGCATGCCTGAGGCCATAAACTCAAGCCCCTACACTGAAGGGCAGGGGTGGAGGAGTTGGGGGGTGGGAGGGATAGAAAGACTGGGGAAGATAAGGGAGATAGTTCTATCAGTAAAGTGATAGCCACACAAGCATTGAGGATTTGATCCCTAGCACCCATGTAAAGCCTTGTAGTGTGGGCAAGTGAGATGATCCCTGGGACTCAATGGCTAGTTACTCTACCGCTAGGTTCAGTGGGAAAAGAAGGGCTGGAGAGATGGTCAAGAGGTTAAGCTGCTCTTCCAGAGGTCCTTAGTTCAATTCCTAGCAACCACATGATGGCACACAAGTGTCTATGATGAGATCTAGTATCTGGCGCCCTCTTGTGGTGTGCAGTCATACATACTGACAGAATACTGTACACATAACAAATAAGTAACAAAAATAAAATAAAATAAAAAGAGCACCACATGTGACTCATAATATTTGCAACCCCAGTTCCAGGGGTCCGACATCTTCTGGCTTCCGTTGGTACCAGACATGCATAGGTTGTACAAACATCCATACAAGGTAACATACCCATACACATACTCTAATTGTTTTTACCACTTTAGAAAATGATTTATTTATTTAATTTCAGTTGTGCATTGGTGTTTTGCCTGCATGTATCTCTGTGTGCCAGATCACCTGGAACTGGAGTTACAGACAGTTGTGAGCTGCCATATGGATGGTGGGAATTGAAGCCAGGTCCTCTAGAAAAACAGTGCTCTTAACCAATAAGCCATTAAGCCATCTCTCCAGTCCCATACACTATAAATTTTTCTAAATTAAAAAATTTTAAGTCAGGCAATGGTGACCCATGCCTTTAATCCCAACACTTGGGAGGCAGAGGCAGGCGGATCTCTGTGAGTTTGAATCCAGCCTGGTCTACAGAGTGAGCTCAAGGACAGTCAGGGCTACACAGAGAAACTCTGTCTCAAAAAACCAAAACGAACCAACACATTTAAACAAAAACTGGGGAGCAATTTAAGAAGACATGAACATCACCCCCTGGCCTTCACATTCATATACAGACACACCCACACATGACATGTACATACATGCATATCCCCTCCAACAAAAAGAGAGAAGAAGAGAAAGAAAGTGACAGAGGACAGAGAGAGAGAGAATGGCAGAGGTGAAGAGAGTCAGAGACAGGAAGAGGGAGTGGCTCTGTCCTCTCAGGCACTGGCATGAAACAGCCAGAGCCGGCTAGCCTCTTCTCCTTTGCTTTCACACCAAGTGCTGTCTCTTTAGGGAGCCATTGGTCTCTCCAGAAGTCTAGGCAGTAGTTAACTATTAGGGGAAATGTGCTAATTTATCAAACATTTACCCAGCGACGGGCACCTTTCCACACATGCTCCCTTTAGTGACCTCCTGAGGCAGGTTTTAGTTTTAACCCTTATTGGATTAGGACACTGAGGCACAGCGACGTTAAGTAACTTGGGAAGTGAAACAATACCAGCCAGTTTGGTCACCTTCTGTACTTTGCAATCTTTGGAGGAGCATGGACACAGACTTCTCTGAATGCCCACTGTGTGCCAGCCCTTATAACACAGCGTGGAGCGGAAGTGATCTGTCCTCTCTCCCTTTTCTTCTTTGCATACTTGCTTTTTTAGTGGTGTGTGTGTGGTGTGTGTATGTGTGTGTATGTGTGTGTGTGGTGTGTGTATATGTGTGTGTGGTGTATGTGTGTAGTGTGTGTATGTGTGTATATGTGTGTGTGGTGTGTGTATGTATATGTATGTATATGTGTGTGTGGTATGTGTGTGTACATGTGTGTGCTGTGGTGTGTGTGTGT